GCTACAAATTGTTATAAATGCAATAGTCATCACAAGTCTGAATGATATGTTTTTAAACTCATAGTTGCTGTCGACATAGGAAGTAAAGTAAGCAAATAACACCGAATAAACGGCAAGGTAAAGACTATGTCTAATTATAGTAAATACGTACTGCGTGCGTGACTCGAACCGGCGCTCGCGTACGGCACCTAATCGCCTAGCTTCACGCCACTACACGTCTTCCCCTATGTTTTTAGTTGTCCAAAATATGGAATACACTCCAATTTATTGAAGTGCATACCTAATAGAAGTGTATTTCTAATTCTAATGCATCTCTGGTAGAAGCGCATGTAAACCAACAGTTGCATTTATTCAGCGAAAATATCGAAAATAAATAGTGAAAATTTAGTATTTTATATATTTAACTTGTTTTGACAGGAGACAAAACTAACATAAGCACATACGTGTACACAAATATGGTATATATCTCTTTCACAAGATATCACCATTTTTATTTTGGCCTTGCATATTCGTATTGGAAATTAAAGGAATGCTGTTTCAGAATGAAATATGTCTGTCCTTGTCCATGTCGTCTGGATTGTTACTTGTCAACTTTTTTTGGGTGGTTACTCAAAAATCATTTCAGTCTGAACTCAAATGGCGATTGTATTTGCATCGTACATACACATGTTTCACCATATTAATATAACAGAGATAATGTGTCTTTGTTGTGTTGATAAAATACCAAGGTGTAACTACTAGTATCGGTAGCGTCAAGTATACTCAAAGTCAGTATTTAGTGCACATTGTGGCCAGATCTTATATTGTATTTGTGCTTGTAACTAGAAAAGCATAGTGTGAAAAACTTGCACATGTGATGACTTCTATACTTCAATTTTGATGACATATGTTATTTTGAAGTTATTGTGTAATAATTTCTTCATTAAATCAGATTTTTGTTATAGTTTTATGAAATTAGGATAATAATGTTCACTGGTTTACTGTTGCTTAACCTTTTCACCACCAGTTCCCTCTTTTCATCACAAATTCACAAAATAGTCCGGTTTATAGTCTGCACTTTCTTTTAGTATATTGGGAAAAACAAAGTGAATTTTTTATGTAAAAACTGAAAATCGATTCAAATTTTTCTGTTGGCTTCAAAATTAGGGTTCATTTCCAAAAAATATTTACGAAAAAAGTGCAGAAAAATTTTGGTGAAAAAGTCTGGTGGTGAAAAGGTAAAAAAAAGTGAAGGCATGCTCTTTTTATTTATCACAGTGTTCATGTTACGTGAAAATTCAGTCTATAAACATTTTGTTGGTGAATTAGCTAATGGTGCATTACTACATTGCCCAACACAAAGTAGTAATCTTATTTGAAAATCGTGCTGTCATTATCATTGTTGTAACATTTCTTGAACAGGAGTTAATGGCGTCTTGTAAAAAATACTTGATGAAATGTACATGTAAATTGAATCAAGGTAATCAAAAAAAGTACACGTAACTGATTACTTGCGTCTTTGGAATCCAGAAAGAAGATGAAAAAAGCAACTAATGAGCATTCCCCAACAAAGGTTTACCTATAATAAGTTTGTTAGATTTTGATGAACACAAAGTTAGTCTTGGATTTCAGATTCTAGATTTAGTCTCAGATTGAGGAAACAAATAAACTGAATATATTATTGCGTTAATCCTAGTAATACTTTGCAGTATTCAGAATATGCTATATTATACCACTCACGAGAAATTATAAGCCTTTAGAAAGTTCATTCCTATTCAATATACAATGTACTTTGGGTGGATCTTTCTCAGATTTGTTCATTTTGTGATGATAACTTCAATTCTCAAATTTCAGTGAATATTTTCCACCAAAATGGTGGATACAACATTTTGCACATTTGTATATTTTCTATAATTTAATTCTTCAATAGTTTTTACCAGATGAACGTAATTTCCCATCAGCAATCAGTCTTCATCAACATTTTGTAAAAATATGGAAAAATTAATGTAGATTATTTTATGATTTTAACATTTCAAGAATTATTGATGGATGAATTTAATCATGTGGAAATGCGAGCAAAGATGAAAATTAAAGTTGGTCCACTATGGTAACGCATTACTTGTGTTGTATCTGTAGCTGGTGTACGACATATTTTAATAACAGGTGTCATTTATAGTAAGTTGTAATACACCAGCAGCTACAAATCAACTGTTTGTTAATGTTTTGATTGACACATGTCAGTTTTCTTAGACATCATCAATCACAAAACTTTTGATAACTTAACAAGTTTGTAATATTTCATTGATTTCTTGACCAGGGCAATGAAAATAGTTGCCTTGTACGTCAGTAAAGAAAACGTGTAGTTATGTTATTAGGTTAAGTGTCTATTCGACCTGTTTTTCGTAGACACACCACCATATTTTCGCTTGGACACGTGTAGTAAAATCAGTCTGAACTGTTTTTCAGATTCTTTTCAAAGAACGGTTTGCCAGTATAATGTTGAATTGTTTTGGCCTTTCATACAGTTTATGCTTTGACTTGTCGGTTAAAAAAAATGATTTTCTTGATTTTTACAGTATTTTTCTTTTTATGCTGTGTTAATCACAAAACCCAAATATAAAAATATATATGGTCATTAAACTACTTTATCATTGGTTTCATTGTAAAATGATTTCATTATGTCTCAAAATTTTGTTCATTTACAAAGTGATGAAAGAATTGTTTGTTATAACAAGATGTGTAATTGTGCTTGTCAAGAATTACTAGGAAATTCTGGTGAATACTACTGTAAAATACTTTATTTTAGCTGAAATTAATTTTCGCTGAAAAGACTTTTTTTGATGTTTTGTATGGAATTTATTTTCACTGATTTTTGACAAGTTTAATTTAAAATGAAGGAAAAAAAGGTATTTTCACTGGATTTTATTTTCACTGAATTATTCCTTCAGCGAAAATAAAAAAAATTGA